GATAAACTGATGAATTCATAGCTAAATATGCTCCTAGAAAGTGGGACCTGATGGGAAGAGTGCATCACAGAGGCTGTGGCTTCCCAGGTACAGTGCCCTCCCAAGTTCCTCTCTTCACTCTGTTCTTGGTAGCTTTCAGCCCACTGTACTCTCCTAACACACTGCTTCTCTTCTGGAACAGCCAAGCATTGGCTGAATCCTCAAATTAAATCCGCCTTAAAGTTGTGGATGTTGAGTGTTTTGTTTCAGTGAGAGGAAAGCTGACTAATACATTATATTTATAAATTTTAATGCTAAGAACTTTTGTATTAAAAGCATTTTCCTTGTTACTAGACTTATTGCTATTAATCTATAAATACTTCCATTTGCTTATGTCAGATAAAAGGGATTTAATTAACTAATCCATGGAAAGTGCTTAATATACTTCCTGCTGTCTAGAGAGATCTCAAGAACACCAGATATTGTCTGTAAGTGACCTAACTACTGGGTCTGTACAATCAAAGCCAAGACGCTACCTCAAGTCCTCTAGGGGATACAAGTGAACTCTCAAATATAAATACATACATATTTTTTCACAGTGAGTTTGAGGCCACCCTCAGCTTAACATTAAGTTCAGGACCAGCCTGAACTACATAGCAAAGGCCTGTGTCAAAAAAAAAAAAATATATATATATATAGTATACATGTTCTGAATTAATATATATAGATTATATAATTTAGATATATATTGAATAATGCTGTATTCTTGACATTTTTCGAAGTGTTTTTCATTTTAAGTCTATATAGAAAGTCTACACAGAAAACAGAAATGTGCTATTAATATCCATAATCAAAATGAAATACAATGGACAGTCATTACCTAGGGGGGTAAAGGGGAAGCAAAATACAGTCTATCAATATTCACAGAAACAGAAGTTATATTTACTAGCCCGTACTAATAACTGTAAGCACTAGTTCTCACATTTTAGTAAGCCCGAGGCAACTGTCTGGCAGGTTTTCATAGCACTTTGTGCCTTCCTGGTCCTGAAGAAAGCCCTGTTCTGTAGGCCTGTCTGGCCCCCTTGTCTCCTGACATCTCGTTAAGGTGAGCCCAGAGGAAGAGACTGCAGACAGAAAGAACAAGCGTGGGATGTGTGGCCCACGTCACGTGTCAGTAGAGACCACCCTTGTCCCTCCTGAAGGTCGGGTGGCCGAGACTATTTCCTATCTGATCAATTTCAGCGACCACTGGTCCCTTTCCTCTTCAGCCTCAGTCTGACAGTGGCTTCCTGCCTCAGAACGGCTCAGCCTCCCTTCATTGGTTTCCCTCGTGCTTAACCATTCTCTCGTGGACATCGGTCCCTTCGTGGATGTTCCCAAATTTTCCCTATTTGAGTGTGGCACTCTTTACCGTCAGGAACCTAACAAGAATGACTGGTGGCACGAGTGCCCAGGGTCCCCGGGAGTCAAAATGAAGCTCTCGGGTTGGGTTGCTCCTGTTCCAAGCACGGGATGCCCCCTTGGGGGGGTGGGGTAAGTGAAATGCCAGGAAGCCCAGTTATGTGCTACCAGGAAGATTACTCTCACGTCACTGTCGTTAGCATGTGCTGAAGCGAGGCACAGAGCAAGGCCTGGGAGGCGACAGCAGTGATGCCCTAAAGCAGCAGTAGCAGCAGTATGAAGCTTAGGGTGTGACAAGGCTGGTTCAAAGGGCCCAAAGGGGACACACAAAAGTGAAAAGACAAATGAATGGCCTCCAATGCTCAAGTCGGAATGCAGTGAAATTTCAGAAAGCGTCTGTCAGTTTAAAAATCCTTTCTTTACCTAAGCTTCAGAGCAAACAAGGTCAAAGACCTAGTCCAAAATTTGATCTCTATACTAAATTAGATCTCTTAAAAATACCAAAAAGACTACTTGACTAGGGGCATGTGGATGTAACTCTCAGAACTGGTACAGGATGTGACAACACGATGTCCTATTAATACCTTCTGGTGGAGACAGCTCTTGGTAGTCATCTGAGCAGAGCAACCTATTTTATGACCTCAGTCAAAATGTTTACATTAGGACTCCAGTGCTCCCTCAGAGGGCCCATGTACCAGGGGGTAAGGTGGAAACTGTGAGTTTAGCCACATGGGTTTCCACCTCTGTCACCGAATTAACTCCACCACTGTGGAGCTCTCCGTTTTCCAGTGCCAACACCCCGAGGAGACATGGTTCCCCAGGGAGAGACACTCATGGTGCAGGAAGGTGGCACTGGACTTCCTCCGTCAGGGAGGGGACAAAGAGTATCTCATGGGAAATGACAGGCATTTAGGACACAGGTTTGTCTTTCCCTTCAACACTGTGAGAGCCCCTTCACATATGGATTTAACAGACTGTCTTTCCAATTAGACTGCTTTCACCCGCAACACTACCTTCAGCCAGGAAACCCATTTTAGCAGCAATACAACAGGCTCAACACCATAGCGTACGCCTGTCGTATATCATGCCCCGTCACCGAGAATCAGCTGCTTAGACCGAAAGATGAAGAGACCTTCCAAGGGAGCGCTTCCCACACGGCTGCCAGCTGGGAAACCCATGCGGCCAGACTGTGTCTGGGAACAACGAGGTTAAGGTAGAAGTGGCCACTAGGATACTTCTTCAAATGATGCTTCTAAAGGAGATTTTGCTCTGTCCTGAAACTTTGGGGCTTTGGGGTATTTCAGTCCCCGAGAAAAGCATGTTTTTGCCAGGATTCAAGTTTCTCATACTGCAGGATTTGAATGGAGGGAAGTTGGATATTTTGGGTTTCTCAGAGTGCTGAACTAACAGGGAGAGAATCTGGCCACCCTAGGTAATAGTTGAAGATTACTGAATTGATTTTAGGTTGTTATACAATGCGATAAAGGAGAATTATGTTTGGAACTCAGTGGGTTGACTGGGACATCTCTTTAAAAAAAAAAAAAAAAAAAACCTTGGGGCTGGGGATTTAGCTCAGTGGCATAAACGCCTGCCTGGCAAGTGCGAGGTCACGAGTTCGATCCCTGGTACCAAAAAAAAAAAAAAATTTAGATTATTGAAAAAATTGCAGTAAACAAAGATGTCACCAAAGACTCAAGATTTACAGGAATTAAGCAGAGGGTTATCCAATTAGATAGTAAATCTAGTCTAGGCCAAGTGTTAGAGGACAGTGAGAGTCAGGAGAGATGGAGGTGGGTGAAAGGAGAAAGTCATAATGATCACTTCTGAGCTCTGACCAATCAGAAAGTCACAGGTTCCGGCATCTATGTCTTACATTCCAATATCCATGAAGAACATTGGTGATGAAGTATTTCAGGGTCCAGTTGGAAGTACAACTGAATTCATATTCAGTTACTCTGTTAAACTGTCATTAATCACCTAGTGTATGCTGCTTATAGTTCTGCAGAAGTATCATTTAGCCTATTATAAGCTACAAAATTAGCAAAACTGCAGTCATAAGAACCATGTCTTTACTTATGAAGAGGGAAATAATAGCATGCGTACAATAGCTATGATGTTAAAAGCAACACAGTTTTGTAAAGAATGAAGTAGATGTTTGAAGTTATCTATTGAACAAAGTTGAAGCAATAATATGTTAGAGAAAACCTATACTATATAATCCTCAGGCAACTCAGTAATACTTTAACAAACCGAAGTACTTACCTAGCTAAAGAAAGTATCTGTCATGTCTTGAGAATATTTTTTGGAAGACATTTAACAGAGTAAGTTTCATAATAAACTGATATCACTTTGAGATCATATTCGGAATAGAATTTATTTATTTACTTATTTATTTTTAAGAGCAGAATATATTTATTTAGGGAAAGAAAGTTTCTGTCTGAGAGAGAAAGACACATAGGGGGTTGTAAGTGGGCTGTCCAGAGCATAATTTTAAAATGAAAATAAGTGGACTACTTTTGTGTCAGGAAGAAAAGTAAAATACGTACTTAAAATATTTTTAATGGGGCTGAGAATATAGCTCAGTCACACAGCACCTGCCTAGCAAGTGCAAGGTCCTGAGTTTGAGTACCAGTACAAAAAAAAAAAAAAAATTGTTACATTAATTTCATTTTTGTAACTGTTCTAAACTTAAGAGTTAATGTTTAAAGTAGCTTTACATAATTCATATTCATGTTTAAAATTAAGTATAGTCTTAAAGGTAACAGAAAAAATGTAAAGATAATACAAGCATTACCTCACAATTTTCTAACACAATTTGTCAGTGTAAATGAAAATATCACTTCCTTTACATCTTCATATTAAAATTAAATGTCATTATAGACAGAAGGAGCACATAAAATTGGCTTGAGATTATTTCATATTAATTTTATACCTTTAATTTCTTAGTTATGGCTATTCATGCTAAAAATCAAATGAGACTTTTGATTTCTTTCTCTTTTATATATTTTGATTCTGGCATTTTATTAAAAAATTCTAGATTTTTAAATAAAGTGCAAAAAGTGTCACACAGCATTCAGTGACTATGGTTTCAGAGCTAACTAGACAAGGAGAGCTAAAATGAAATACCAATTACTCTAAATGTCCATTTTCTAACAAACACAGTGGGTTTCCAAGTTTAAAAAACAAAGTGATGATTTCCCAGCAAGATCCCAGCCTGAAGACTGTCATCAGTCACCAAAAACCAAACCAATCAACCAAAGAAACCACATGACTCTCTTCGACAGTAACTTCTGGATGTAACTGTGCTACTTCACTAGGTGTTCGATTATCCTGAGTTAACCATATTACTATACTAATAACTGTAAAATTAAATCATGACATTTACTAAAAGCTACTTTTTTTAGTCTAATATCCTTAAGAGACTCTTTAGTTTACTATACTCCTTTTTGCTAGCTCTATACATCTAAAAAAGAAAGGGTCACATGCATCTCACAAGCATTATCACTTGACATACACAAATGACAACGCCATGAGTGTCAGTGCTACATGTTACACAGCATTATCCCATGGCACTCTCTTGAATTCTCAACTTCAGCTTTCTTTTCAAAGGTGACACTTACCAGAGTGGGTCCTGAGGTGTCCTGTGAGGGCGTCCCTTCGTCTACAAGCGTAGCTACAGAAAGGACATTTGAAGGGCTTCTCTCCAGAGTGTAACTTTATGTGTCTCAGAAGGTTACCCTTTTGAGTAAAAGAAGCTCCACACTGGTTACAGTGGAAGGGGCGCTCCCCTGTAGGAAGGAGAAGGGAAAAGATCAAGTAGGTTAAGTGCAAAGCACTATCATCCACTCTTAACCAGAGACAATTCTGTTTTAGACATTCATCTCCTCATAAGTCTTCTAAACACCTCTGCCTTGAACTGGTTTCACTAACAAACAAGTCTGAAGCTTTGATCAACTGGTCGTTTCCTCTTTTCATATAAACCTGACAAGACTCCCGCTACTGGCTCAGAATAATATCAATGATAGTATTTACCAGTGATTGGCAACTAGATGCCATTACTTTAACTGTCTCACTACTTGCTTTATATACAATGTCTCAATCCTCACAATGACATTAATAATTAGGTATTATTATTTTCAATTTACAAATGAAATTGAAGTTCACATTCAAAGTAGCTGACTGAGTCAAAGAGTTAGCAGTAGAGAACTGATCTGGGTCAGTTTGAATCCAAAATCTTTTTCTATATATTTTACCGTGCTATTGCTTTAAAACTCACGGACATTTTGAGTTGTAAGAGACTGGTAGACTAACGCCTTTATTTAGCTGAAAAGGGGCCCAAGAAAGGGATAATGAAGGAGCCAGCTTACGAAGCTCAATACCACAAGATTTCCACGACAGCCCACATCTTGTGATTGTTCTGGTCACTAACAGTGAAACCGCTGGCAAAACTTCCTGATTACTAGACAAAAATCCCAAGAAGAGTATTCATGTATGCATTTCTTATATATTCTCATTATTTTATAAAATCATGTTTGACAGGACTCTTCTTTCCTTTTTCTCCTGTTACTGATATTACTATAGAATTGACTAAACCTGAATTATCAGTTTAGTCTCCTACCACATGCTGGGTGTCACCAATATCCTCAAATATAAAAACAGGTAGCGAGGGGCGGGGGATTTAGCTCAGTGGCATAAGTCCCTGCCTTGCAAGTGCATGGTCATGAGTTCGATCCCCAGTAACAAAAACAAAACAAAACAACAGGTAGGTAGGAAGTAGAAACCTGGGCAACTGGGATCAAACTGATATTATTACCAAATGATGAAATAAATAAGGTTAGTGTAAATTTGCCTATTTCTACAGACAGACATGGATAAATTAGAAACTAATACATCAATAAATACTTCAAGTTCAAAGTTTAGAATAAAGAGAAATTTTAAAAAGTAGTTCACATGGAACTAAACTATTTTGTATGGGAAGTCAGAGGATGGTTATAAATTCTTAGTTTTTCAAAAATTTCTCATTGAGTACTCGTTTCAAATATCTTAAATTGAAATGCTCATCAGAATAGTGAATAATAAAATCTCTCTATATTTTTTGACCCCTGATGTATGTAAACCTAGTGATACTTTTATTAGTGAAAACTAGTAGATACTGAAGTCACTACCTGCCAGGAGCCACTACAAATTCTGTAAAACAGTTTTGTTACAATGCTAAAGAAATTAAATTGGTTCATCAGGTACATCTTAAGTTCTATTCCACTTGCTCTTTTAGGAAGTTAAAAAGGAACAATATGTCAAAAACAAATCGGTGTGTGAGGTGAGGTTCTATTTCTTAAAAAAATCTAGAGCTCTTAGAACTAAACATAATAGATTCATCCTATAAATGATGTAATGTGTTAAAAAATACTCAAAATATTGACTACCTTAAATTATATCTTATTTAATGAGTTTAATTCATTTGATAAAAATATAAAAGCTATCATATGAAATTGTAAAAAATAATTTTTAAACCTAATTTCTGAAGATCTTTCTAAAAATTCAACACTCGCAGCTTAACTTAAAAGATTTTATCTTTTTCTAACAGCAGAGCATACTTTTAAAAGTCATAATTATCTACTTCTCACCTCTGCCATCAAAGCAGTAGTAAATGACAGGGGTCATTTACTTTCACAAATTAACTTTTTTTCACAAATTAACTTTTTTAAATTAACTTTTTTAAAAAGAAGAAAATACCAAATATAAGTTGTATTTTTCATTCAATTATTTCATTCACTTTTAGAATTCCTCTATGTAAGGTCTCCTAGGCAAATAATAAATTGGTATGCAGTAACTTTTTAAAAATTTTAAAATACTTATTAGTATATATTTGTAGTACATAACGATTACATTCCTGATGGGGAGCTGTTACAAGCAAAAAACTTTTAAAAAGAATTATAGCAGAACAAAAAAATTGTATTTTCCTTTGGAAAATAGGCAGTAGCATGTTAATTTAGATTTTCTCCAACCATCTATAACATTTGAATTGACTTAAAAATCTCTAATTTAGAATAGTTAATTCATTTAAAATAATAAGCTAAAGAAATAATAAGGGCAAATATTTTTAAAAAATAATTTTAAATTTCAGCTAGTTGAACTTATTGAGGCTAATGATAGGATTAAGTCAGCTTTTATACTTACAAATTACTCCAGATATCTTTATTTTTTTTTATTAAGAAACTACTTCTGAATTTATATAATCATCTGCAAAAAGGATAGGAAAATGAAAGGGACTCTAGATATATCTGATAATACTATGGTGCAGGTCCTTGGTAAATTCCCAGTGCCATGAAATGCATAAGGCATAACGAACATAACTTTTTGTTGTTGTCAGTATTGGAGACTGAACCCAGGGCCTCCACACTGAATCACATCCCACTCTTTTTAAAAATATTTAATTTGGGGACAGGTTCTCACACAGCTACTCAGAACACTGGGCTTGAATTTGAAATTCTCTTGCCTTAGCCTCCCAAAGTTCTGGCACTACAGGTGTGTGCCACCGTGCCAGCTGAAAGTAACTTTTTTTTTTTGATATGAGAAAAGATATTGACAACATTAATTTTTCGTTTTGTTATATTTCTGGAATTGAACTGAGGACCATGCGCTTGCCAGGCAGGTGCTATGCCACTGAGCTGTATCCCCCCGCCCTACACTTTGATTTCAACTCAGTAGATTTTAGATATTAATTTTAAAATGGGTTTCCTCATCTTTAGTTTGAACTCTGCTTGACTTTCTCAATATCTTGATTATATAAAATGGTATTTCAATAGTACAGTTTGATCATATATAACACTGAATTGAAATTATGGTGAATCTCTCAATAACACTACTATAGGAACTAAAAATGAAAGCAGAAAACAAATGATTTTTTAAGTATATTTAGTCATATTTCAGGAGTACTTCAAACATAGGCATATACACTCTATGTAATTAAATCACTTTTTGGAAAAAAATCACCTAGAAAACATTTGCAGTCCTTTTTAAAAATGTTCTGGGATATTTCCTAGCCTACACATTACAAAGATGTATGTAAATTTACCTGATACTGAGTTAAAAAGTTTAACTTCCTTTTGTCTATGCAAAAGGTACACACGTAAATGTACTATCTATAGACCTTCACATAACACATCTTTTCTCTCAAAATTTGTCCTTTACATGAAATGAATCAACTGACCTTTTTTTGAGTAACTTTAGACTTTCAAAAAACAAGTAATTTTCTTTATATGTAAATCTAAGAAAACCCTACCAATTCAGTATCACATTAAAGATGTTAGAGAGTATTCCAATTGGTTGTTTGCTGTGTGACAGCTGATCTTCCCACTCGTGGTCAACAACTGTGGATCATGAAACAGTTACGATGTGGTCATGGTATCCTTCATGGCCACCCTTAGTCTGTCTGGTTTTTAAAGTTCAGTCTATTCATCTACTTGTTCATTTTTAGCTATTCACATGATGAATTTACAGGTGATTTTATTATGCAATAATTACATTTCAATAGTTTATGCACTTCCATAATTACATATTTTTAAATCTGAATTTAAATATTCAACTGAAATACAAATATACATGCATCAGTTTGCCCTGGTGAATCAGAGAGGGAGAATTCCTCTGTTACCTACAAATACACATCATTAGCACCTGACAAGAGGCTCTTCAAACAAGACAATGGCTCTACAGCACTGCCATGCACAAAAATAGGATGCTGAAAATTATTTTAAAAAAGGGAGTAATGTGTCCCAAAAGGAGGCAAAATTAAGGATCTTGTGAATTTATAAGGTGGCTGTAGACGCATGTTCATGCCTGAATTAATACTCCTACTTAGTTTCTTCTCCCTATATTCCCAAAGAAGAGTGCCTGGAGTATCGGATGACAATATTACCTGACTACTCACTAAAGCAGCATTGCCAAAGAAGTAACACCAAGCCTTTAATAAGATACTGAAATTGGCACTTTAGCTGAATGTGAAAGAGAAAGAAGAAGTAAACTATATCTGATACTCCACGTCGCTGTGATAACTGGGTGGCTGTGCACCTTAGTTAAGACATTCAAAAATACGTTTCTCCCATCCAAGTACTAACCAGGCCCGACCCTGCTTAGCTTCCGAGATCAGACGAGATCGGGCACGTTCGGGGTGGTATGGCCGTAGACTAAAAATACGTTTCTCAAAGGCTGTATGCAGTTGAAGATAGCGGCTTTCATAATAGCTATAAATAATTATAGCGGCTTTTATAATAGCTATAAATAATTGAGTGGAAACTTGTAAAATGAAGAACGTGGTTGATGTTATGGACAAAATACTTGGTTAATCACTAGCTTCTGACTATATCTTTCTCAATCAAGTTAAAACAAACAAGTTCTATTGTCAAAGAGCAATAAAATGGAGGTGAAATGTGAGGATCCACGCCAGTATACAAACTGGGTCATCAGAAACACGTATTAGGAGAGCTAATTTAAGATATCACATCCAAAATTTCCAAGTCGACAAAGCCTGGTGGCTATTCCAAGGTCCTTCACGAATGACTATTAACATTAACAAAAACCTCCTAGATCATAAGGAAGTATAATAATTTTCTCAGTGCTCTAATATACATTTGCCAAAAAAGTACACAGCTCTGTGATACACTTTAAATGGTTATTTAGCTCATTATCCTTGCTTTTACTAGTTGTGTCTCATATTCCTAAATTCACTTATAGAAATCCACGCAACTATTTATAAGCATTTTCCATGCCAACTATGTAATTTTCAGTTTTAAATAAGGTGATTGTACTACTGTAGTAAATATCAAGTGAACAGTACAGCAGGTATGTAATTATTTCATCTGTAAATAACCCTTATGGATATTATTACAGATACAGTAAAAAATTGATTAACCTATATTTTCAAGAAAGCATATTATAGTTCTTTAAATTTCCTTAACTAAGCATTTAAGACATTTACTAAAACATCTCCTGAGAATAGTTTTTAATATGAACTTCAGCCTGAAAACTAACACTATGCAATTCAACTGCAAAGTGCTTAGACTGTTTCAGCTTGTCTGAAATGGGAGAATTCTGAATGGGAGACGTTTCACATCTGAATGAATGTTTTCTTCCTCAATATTCTCACTCTGACATAGTGGATACACTGTAACTTTGTGGAACTCATTTCATGAATCACAAAATAGCTTCATGGGCCTAGATAAAAAGTAGATTATTTTGTAATCTTTACCCTTTTTTATTATTAGATAGATATGAGCTTGATCCTTTTAACTTCTCTTAAGACATTTTAGAAAAGTAAAGGAAATAGCTTTGTATTAGTAATACAAATATCTTAAAAGCACGGTGATGTTTAAAACAGAAATTCAAAGTAAAACAGAAGCAAAATTGAAACTGGATGTTGGCTGGAAAAATGTATATAACTAAAGCTAATGTGTAAGATAACATGATTCTAATGTGTGATTTCACATAATAATTAAAAAGCATCACCCTTAGTTTATAGTCACATTTTATAATAAATGATGGGTATATTAATATATCAAGCATGGTACATTTAAACAAAACCAGCCTGGGTGTCAGGATATCTTCTTCTAGTTTCAGCAATGTCCCTGTCTACAAATCACTTGACTGTTTCTTCATACATGATCTGAGAAGGCTGAACTAAAGTCATTTTACAACTCTCTCTCTCTCTCTTTTTTTTTTTTTTTTGAGACAGCGTCCACGTACTTCACGTTGGTCTTGAACTCACGGTGACGCTCCTGCCTCAGCCGAGTGCTGGGGTTACAGGCCTGCATCATCATGCCTGACTTATATCTCATGTTTTAAAATCCTAGTTATTAAATTATTTAAAGCTGTCTGTAAATAAAGTTCTTCAGAGTGATTTACCACTCTTCCAAGAGTATCACATACTAAAATTCTAGGACTGTTACTAATATCTTGCTGTAGAATACTACTAAGCATTATAGTGAAAGCTACGTCACCTTCTAGGCAATTTTTAGGTAATTGTGAAACTTTAAAAAATGTCAACCATCTTCCTTTCTTACTCCAATCTCATCTCGGTAGTCTTCATTTCTAAATTTTGGTAAAAGATTTGAAAAGATTTATCCAGACTTCTCATCTGGAATGACCATTCTATGCCTACACATTTTGCTGCCCGTTGGCAGCTTTGTGCTACAAACCTCCTTGCAGGAGTTAGAACCTCAAGTCGCAGGAAGATGGTAACATTCTTGAACTAGGAAAAGTACCTGCCTGATGCCGAGGCCTTGGCAGGCAAAGCCTGACTGTAAATCAGATTTCAAGAAGTTAACTGGGTAAAGTGAAAGTGATTCACCCCTCTATAAATGTGTGAGTGCCATTCTGTAGTATAAAATCTTAGCTAGCAAACTCTATTAGCTGCCCAGGGGTATGGTAATATGTATGGAAATACAAAAAGATTCAGTTACCCAATGAAAGTCTCCTATACCTTTTGAACCCTTATCACATTATTGCTATATTAAGAACTGTGGAAACTGAATCCCAAACTCCTCTCCTGATATGCTATTCAGATCTGAAGGCTGGAAGTCAAGACCCAGGCTACTCCCTGCTTTCCAGCAATCCAATACTAGCAGAATTCTGAAAAGGCAGTTTCACCACTGTCACCCCTGAATGAAGAGGAAAGAGAATAGATGTCAGGTAATATCAACATCAGACGTCACAGGCAGTCATCAGTTATGCTTGCAGCTGCTTACCAGTGTGACTCCTTTTATGTACCATAAGCACATTGGGCCCAATGCAAACCATGCCACAGACGTCACATTTCAGTTTACCATTCGGAAGCCGGATTCCTCCCTCGCCTTGAAGCTCCTGGGCTTTCCTGTTGTCGGCCAGCTCGCTGCTCTCAATCAGGGGCTCTTCTAGGCTGCTGCCCTCATCATGGCCCCTGATCTCATCGTCACGGCTCAGGGGTTTCCTGTCACACTCTTCATCACTTTGCATTTCTAGCTTTACTGAGTTTGCTGCAATTAAAAAGGAGAGATTTTTAAATACATGGTCAGCGGTATCGCCTACCTCTTTTCCACCCACGGCCCTTCTATACGGAAGGAAGCACACGCCACATTTAAGTAGAATTCTGTCCATCACCAAGACTCTGTCAATACCTTCGGAGCTCTATGGTATTTAAAAGCAGTGCTCTGACCTGAAAACAAGACGGCTCAGGAACGTGCTCCATACACAGTCTAACCCTTTATTTCTGTCTCATTTCTTTCACTCAGTTGTTTAGTTCTTAAGCTCGTCATTAAATAGTGCTAGTATTCACTTTTGAGTTTGTCATTAAGGCTACTAGGAGTGAGATCTATTTATGAAGATGCAAGATTAAATATTACTTAACCTACTGAGCCTTGCCTTCTCCTAGAGATCATTGTATTTACTTCACATTCTCTGCTTCAGACCAGAGTACTTGTGTAAACCTGCTTCGGAGCAGAGCAAGAGAAACAACTCAAGATCTTAATCCAGCCAATGTCTTTCACACATGAAAGCCTAATGTTAAGGTAAATGTCCTAAAATCAGACTAAACATAAATAGTGAAGAGCTGGGCAAATACAAGGCAAAGTGTAGAGGCCTTATAAGCTCCTAAATTACTTTGCCTTTTATTCCTGTATGAAAAAAAACTCTACTGACGACATCAGCCTGCAAATCAAAGTACTCTAACTGTAATCTATGCACACCGAAAGGTAGCTAATGACAGGAATGGCATAACATGCATGTACACACTTGCGAGTGTTAAGAAATTTAATGCCTTTTCTTTGCTGATTTTGGATCATCCCACAGGAAAGCTGGAATTCTGTTAGCACAGCTTTCATTCTGGGTTGCTTACAGAGTCCTTTCACAAGACAGAAGCAAGTTTCAAATTAATACTGGCTTTGATCCAGTGATTTTGAAAATTTCTTTTCATATCAGTGTCAATGAGCAAGATTCATTGGCTCCACTTGAATAAGAAAATATGTTCATACCAAAAAAAAAAAAAAAAAAACCCACCCATTCTTTTTACTGCAATTGATTTCTTGGAGAAACTACACATTCTGTGATTTGCAGTTGGTTCTTATCTGGACAAAAAGTACTAGCAAATTGTTCTTTCACTGTTCTTCTCCTCTGTGAGCCTCTGTTGAGGCCATGTAGTACAAGAGTACCAGCCATAGTCTTGAAGCAATTATTTACGCTATAGGTCTTTCATTTGCAAAATAGAGATGAATACATAATATCAGACAGTTTAAGCTGAAGTAGTAAGTAAATCCTTAAGCATCCTAAGGAACTCACATTCCCCACGCCCTCTGTAAAATGGGGATGCCAATGGTACCCACTTCCTAGGCTCAATGCTAGAGCTAAATGAATACATAAAATAAACACACTTATTTTTCTCTCAACTCAGAGTGCTATACTTAAGATTTTTTGGTCAAGATTATAGCATGTAAATTATAACCTACAGAAGGCTATAAATCCTTGCTGGATCTATCTCAAATAGAATATTTACTATGTGGACTTTACTTAGAAATCATCATGACTTAACTGGCTTTTGAGATGAGTAGGCACGATATTTCATCCAACTGCTCAGCCTACTCATGGGCTTCGTGACATATGGGAAATGTTCAAGCTCTATTCATTGACTTGTTTTACTAAGTGTATTAGGAACTGTATTGTTTTAAACTTTTCTTATATATTTAAAGAAAAACAAATGTGCTGGGTTTGGTGGTACATGTCTGTAATCCCAGCACTCAGGAGGCTGAGGCAAGAGGATCATTAACAAGTTTGAGATCAGCCTGGGCTACAAAGTGAGCTCAAGGCCAGCCTGAACTGCACAGTGAAACCCTGTTTCAAAAAGACAAAAGAAAAACAAATATAAATTAAGACGTTTTCTACTGAGAGCTCAAAATTCCTCAATCATGGTCTCAAAGAAAATACAATCATAATTTTCATACTCAGTAGTTTGTCTGTAATCTATTTTAAATATAATTGATTCGTGCAAATTATCATTAAATATTTTATTTCTTATTATTTTGGACATTCCCTGGGAATATCATATAGAACTGTCAGTGTGAAAACACATTTTACCATTCTTTTCAATGTACACTTAAAGATTATGAGTGAATTTGGCCATCTTTTTTTTTTTTTTTTTCTTTTTCCTTTTTATCGGTACCAGGGATCGAACTCACAACTGCCTCTTGCAAGGCAGGCGCTTATGCCACTGAGCTAAATCCCCAGCTCCTTGGCCATCTTTCTTATGCTTAAATGTACTTTTTTATGCAACTGTTTATCAACTTACCAATTTGTCTATTTTTCTACTAGGTTATCAATCTTTACTTATTGCATGTAAAGGTAGTTTATGTACAGTTTAGCATCCATCCCTTAAACTGAAAATCCAATGTCTGAAATGCCCCAAAATCCAAAACCCTTTCTGCACTGACTTGATGGTGCAGTCCCGTAACTGATGTCATGTGACAGGATGTATGTCACCAAAATGCATGTAAACTAAAAACACTGTATATAAAGTTAACTTCTAGATATGTATAAATTATGTAGGAAATAAAAATGAATTTCCTGTTTAGACCTGGGTTCCAGCTCCCGAATACATCCTGATGTATGTGCAAGTATGCCCAAGTCTGAAAAGTTTAAAATAAAACTGGTTCCAAATGTTTGTTTTTTAGACCTTTTCTGGAAAGAACTTTTTCTAATCAATGCAAAATGCTACTGATTACTCTATGCAGTCCCATATTTCATCCATAATTGTAATTTAAAAGAAAAATTAAGAAAAGGTGAAAATGTTACTTTATACAGCATGGCTTTAAACCAAACTATAGTCAAACTATCTCACACATTTATATCAAGTGAAATACTAAAGACTTGAAGCTTCAGACAAATGCCATAATTCTTGTTATCAATTAGCCAATGTCTAATAAGCTACACTTAATGAATGTGAAATCTAGTTAAATTTTTATTTGTTTGGTTTTTTGTGACAGACACTCACTACTTTGTGCAGGCTGACCTGATACTCATGGTGACCTTTCTGCCTCAGCCTCCCAGGTCCTGGAATTACAGGAATGCATCACTATGCCTTGCTAAGGAGTACACACTAAAACTATAGACCTATCAACGTCAAAGGATCACAGAATTATAAAAAATATTATTTGAAATTAAAACATTACACTTTTTCCTTAGTGCAAGTGCTATATAATGAGGCATCTAATACGTAACATCAGACATAAATAAATGTGTCATTTAAAAAATTGAAACATATTACAAATGTAGTTAGGTCTCTACCCCTAGAAGAATATGTTGGGTACAAATAGACAAAAAACAAACAAACAAACAAAAAAACCCAAAGAACTAAAGCACAAAAAAAAATCCCAACAAGACTATAAAAGCAATGTTTTCTCTAGCAATACAATAAGGAATGTTTATCAGGTATGAATATACAGTGTATTGCTCTCCTGTCCAAAAAATACAACACAATTTACTATGCATATCATTTTAAATTTTGTAAAAAGTGGTATCCCATGTACAGACAAAATTTCACAACAATTAATTTCTAATGCAGTCACTAAAATTGGGTTGAAATTTCTAGGATGAAAAGCAGTAAATTTAATTAATTCATGGAATAAATGTCTTTGAATCTCAATTATTAACTAGAAAATTTTCTACTCAAAGGAAAGGAAATTCCATAATTTAATTTTATTATAAGTTTTTTTTAATTAATGCAGGCCTAATATTTTAACTCTTTAACAATTAGCATTGTTTTGTATATGTTAAGTAGACTCTAAATCATAATTTATATACTAAAGCGCTGTAGTACAACTGTTTGTAGGTGTAATATATAAAGCTGTTATAATTATTAAACATTATACACTACTTTAGTTTTCAAACCTTTAAAATTGGATTTTTAATCTCAGAGGAATACTTTTACAATTAGTTATAGGAAGACATTCTTAGAGGTGGGCTAATGCCATTTTCCATTTTGAAGTGAAATCTTGTGACAAATCTGTACGTCAAGAATAAATTTTCAGGATTATTTTTCTATTACTTCTTGGCCTTTTGCCTAAGATCAAGTGAAGACTGTTTCTCTACTAGTAGCTGAAAGATGGAAAATCAAGCATATTTGTGGGATTCATACACATAAATATATACTGACCAGCAATAGTGACTTTACCAAAATAGTATTTTGTCAGAACAAATCATTAGTAATGAAAAAAGGGCTGTAACTAAGATTTCAGTCAATTCATCAATTTGTTCTTCATCATCCTATATTATAGCTACCAGTAATTGTAATATCTGAATATTTTTGGTGAATAAAATAAAAGTCTTTAATATAGTTATCTTTTGCTGTAAGGAAAATGATGTGCAAATTTTAATACAAAGATGTCAAAGTTTAAGGCACCAGTAATCAAGAAAATGTTACTGTGAGGATCAATGGTCAATTAGAGAGGGCAACAATGATTCATTGTAGTGGCATTTCTATTTAGAATTTATAACTATTTGTAGTCATTATTTATTGGACTATAAAGTTTGAACACACAGATAAAGTAACAGTTAACAGAAAAGACTTCCACAATCGAGTTTATATAGAAAATGCTTTGAATATATTTCAGGATAAAAAGTTTCACATGTATTTTGATTTAAAAAATAGCATGAAGCAAACATGCTTATGAAGGCAAGATCCTCCCCTACTCCTTATGCTTTCAAAATACTATTCATGAGCATAAGAATTTAAATTTACAAATTCTATAAAAATCCATGTATCATCTTCATTCACAAATGATCACACCAATGACAAGAAGTGAAGAGACATATATGAAAAATGCCCACTATTGTGACACACACGCAATCTTTCATCGAACTCATTCTCCCCATCCACTAAGAAGCAGAGGCATCTCTTTGCCACAGTGGTGCCAGGGCGTGAGCTGTGGTGGAGCTCAGTAGGAGCGTGTGCTCACTAGCACACACATGGCCTGGGGTCCATCCCCAGGAC